ATTCTTATCCTGAACCCTTCCAAGTGCTATAAAGTCGTGGTGGCTAGACGCTGTCTCCTGATAATTCCCTTCCACGCTGGTGCTGCATACATTAGGATTTGTCTAACACATGTGATTTGTCTAACACATGTGATTTGTCTAACACATGTGATTTGTCTAACACATGTGATACACAAAATTCTGATTCTCTACACAATTTTTTTTAAGGTAGCTCTTATGTAGGTCAACCTGGCACTTGCCGCTGATGATGCCCTTTTGGAGTTTTTTTTTCCAAGAGACAGGTTTTTTTGTGGGTGTACTCACCTAGATGTGCTTGCAGGTTCGAGCCAGACTCCTTCGAAACATTCTTAGATTAATGCAATAACTCATTGTTCATGTTTTTATCATGTTTACATATAAAACTCTGAATCGAATTAGCTCAACAACTTCTACGCCTAACTTCTTCCACTGTGTGTGTGTGTGTGTGTGTGTGTGTGTGTGTGTGTGTGTGTGTGTGTGTGTGTGTGTGTGTGTGTGTGTGTGTGTACTTACTATTTGTTGAGCAGACCACACACTAGAAGTTGAAGGGACGACGACGTTTCGGTCCGTCCTGGACCATTCTCAAGTCGATTTTACATACTTCAGCCACGTTATTGTGACTCATCGCCTACTTACTATTTGTTTCTGAAGAACCGAGTTATTAGGTCTTTGATCCCGCCATACTAATCAATTTATTTTCCTCTATTATGTCTACTATATATATTTCTCTCTAATACACACACACATACACACACAGCTCAACCCTCGCAAACACAACTAGGTGAGTACAACTAGGTGAGCACACACACACACTCATAATAACACAGAGTACTGTGTTGTTATGTGTGTGAGTGTGTGTGTGTGTGTGTGTGTGTGTGTGTGTGTGTGTGTGTGTGTGTGTGTGTGTGTGTGTGTGTGTGTGTGTGTGTGTGTGTGTGTGTGTGTGTGTGTGTGTGTGTGTGTGTGTGTGTGTGGAGACAGTACTGGCGCGCACAAGTACATTACCGTGAGTACGTGGGTTTATACACACTGCTCCTTCCCAACCAAGAGGACAGGCTTGCCACAGCTGCCACCCTCACAGAGGTGCACGTGTACCCCCCTTTGTTCAATCACCCCGTGTGACTGAACAAGCACTGCTTGGCCATGTGTCATCTGCCCCGCCAGCCAAACATCCATCATCATTATATTTGTAGAATTACTGAATCATCGTTTAGAATACAATTTAGCATGATACTTAAATGTATTTAACATTTGCTTGTCTGCATTTCACAACTATTGGGTATTTATGTAAAGCTCGTAATTTATGTAATATGCATATGCAAAGCTCATAATGTATGTAATCTGCATATGTAAAGTTCATAATTTATGTACTCTGCATATGTAAAGTTCATAGTTTATGTAATCTGCATATGTAAAGCCCATAATTTATGTACTCTGCATATGTAAAGCTCATAATTTATGTAATCTGCATATGTAAAGTTCATAATTTATGTTATCTGCATATGTCAAGCTCATAATTTATGTTATCTGCATATGTAAAGCTCATTTAATATAGAAATCTTATATGTTTCAGTTCACACAATTGTTTCCTTCAGTATTTCTTGAAAACATATCAAATCAGTCGTTAGAGGATATAATTTTTGGCTCTGTTTTGCCATTGTTTTTTTTAATGTGATTCAGGTGTTTGCATATGTAACGTATGTGCTTATAAATATATTTTACTAGACTTAGTAAATCACACTTGCAGTAAGTCATACAAGAAAGCGTTGGGGACTCTTCTGGCAACCATGACAGCCAAGTCCTCAGAGAGGCATTCTGATCAAGGTTGACCTTTCTTGAGCAAATACTAATCTTTCCTGACAATATTAGATATATGAGCGTTTAGATTATTGGAATTATGAAGGAGAATTATCATTAATGGAAATATTGAACGACATTAAGTTTAGACTTTTGGGTTATATGTGAGTTGCTTGTGATCGTCACGCCCCCTTGAGTTACTCTGAGTGACCGTAACGCCTTTGTGTTACTCTGAGTGACCGTCACCCCCTTGTGTTACTGTGAGTGACCGTCACCCCCTTGTGTTACTGTGAGTGACCGACACCGCCCCTTGTGTTACTCTGAGTGACCGCCACACCCTTGTGTTACTCTGAATGACCGTCACACCCTTGTGTTACTCTGAGTGACCATCACCCTCCCCCCCCCTATTGTCTAATACGGATAAGATTGTCTGCCATCAGTTCCACTGAGCTCATAGTGATAAGGGGGAAGCACTCACTGTGTTCCTGATAAGATATACATTTTTGAACACTGGTGTTTTTTTTATTAAATCAATATTGCCATTAATATAAATATAACTATTATCTTGTATTTGTAGTTAATTCAGTATTATATCTTAAAGATTCTTGTTTCGTTTGCATTGATAGGTACATTTAACTCATCACTAATGATGTATATAATATATAGATATATATATATAATATAT